CCTGCAAAAAGAAAACCTTTTTAATATGGACAACCCAACTACACACAATAAGATGATCAACACAACAAAAATCCATATTTAGCAAAACAGGAGATGATTAACATATGAAACCCTTTAGGGTGGCTCGATGGTTTGGGCTTAGGACTTCCATGTTGGAGGTCTCAAGTTCGAAAGCCCTTGCCAGTGAAAGCAAGGGGATTACCTCTCCTGTGTGGCTTGCGAGCTATTGCATATGAGCGGGGGTTTTACCCTGTGTGCACCCAAAGTGTAGCGGCTGCGAGTTTACCTTTTCACAAAAATAACATATGAAATATGCAACCACATACATATTAACAATATGATATGATCAACATAAAAAATTTCAACTACACAATGCGATAACTCAACAATATCAAGAAGTCCAACTATATAACTACTTAGAAACATGAGATGATTAACATCTAAAGAGCTCAACTACATAACTTTTAATCAATAAGAGATGATCAAATCAACATATATATATTTGATAACTCTGGTGTTTGAACCAGCTTGCATAGACCGCGACTTACTACATATGATACCTCCCACCTCCCATCAGTAACATGTGTTGGGTAACTCTGACTAGAATAGATGAAGGCTAGAACAAATGGGAACAAATCAAGATGAACATATCAAAAAGTCCAACTGCCTATCCTAGAGATTCAATTGCAATCATCCCTCAACTCTACCTGCAATATAGATAATTCAAAGATCAAAGAACCTAACTTTGATTGATGGAAATGAACCAGCTTAACAAAGTGCCTGTTTGGATTGACTTATTTTAGGTGCTTTTAAGCTAAAATAGCTTTTAAGCTGTTTTGAAGTGTTTGGGTAAAGTTAAAAAGTGCTTATAAGCACTTATTTTTAAGTCAAAATAACAAAAATAAGCCAAAAGCCATAAGTTAGAAATCCTAACTTATGGCTTTTGGCTTATAAGTCATAAGCCAAAAGCCAATCCAAACAGGCCCTAAAACTGCACATACATGCCAGTCCAAGTTTAACAAAGTTTCAAAAACCCAACTAAAGTTCCAAAATTTCAGCTGAAAAGGACTATTTTAACTATAATAGAGATGATCCATGGATTAAAATCCAAACTTTGATTGAATAAAGCCAAACAACTCACAATTCACAACCCAGAACCCAGAAAGAGAGATCTGTTAAAACCCAGAAATTTCTATAAACAACTTCAACAACCCAGAAAGTTAAAGGTGTCTAATCAACCCAAAAACTAAGGAAAAATAAATAAATAGCAATACGACTCTACCAGCAAGATGAAATTAAACTAAAAAGTGAAAATCACAGAGCTAAGGAAGAGTCGTATTTTCCTTAGCTCTGTGATTTTCACAGATGGGCTATGCTTAAGACAATTGAGGGCATCATATGGATGACATACACATGAGATCATCCTAGTCATACATATCTCATTTCTTGAGATGGATTTTCTCCCTCACAACATACTTCAATCCCGTAATGTCTGGCTACACAACATATACTTCATTGGGTATCAGTTTTATTTGAGAGACAAGACTATAGTAAGTGCTCACTTAGTTTACGGGACAACATTCTCAACATTGTACTTATCTCAAATACGAACACGAGACACGAGTTGGCATTACACTCAGTGCCATGCCAGCAGGCTAGCCTAGCCATTCGATACAACCAGTGGCAAATGTAGTACAACATAGGATGTGTGGAAGGGCGTACGCCATGAGTTCGAGTCCTGCTGGTGGACCACACCTAATATTTAATTGGAGAAGGGTAGAGTGCAACCCCATTAATCATGAGTTTTAAAATTGGAAAAAAATTATTTTTCGATTATAAGGAAAAAGAAATGAGCTAAAATCGAACAAACTTTAGATGACTTGCTTTGAATTTGAATGAAGCTTGAAATCAGAAATATATTTGGGTAAAGTTGTTTTCACAAGCCAAACTGTGACCGATGAACCAAAGTAACACAAGAATTATTTCCTTAAGCTTCAGAGAGGTATTGAATTATACCCATTGTTGGTAATATGTTGACTTTTAATATGAATGTTATAAACGTTTTTTTTTCCTTCAATATGAATGGTGAATAATAGTATACCCAATACAAAAGGGGACAAAGAAAAAGGTCATTTGCATGCGCTAGGAGACTGAAACAGAAAAGATGGAAAACTACTATTTGTGTTCATTATTGCTCTCTCAAGACAAATATTCAAGATTGTTTCATGTTGCTTCTTGTATGTGGGTTTCTACCTGCCTAAATAATGTAGTGATGCCCTTTGATCCCCCGTTCATTTTATTTTGGAGTAGTTTTTTGATAGTCAGGGCTTAACCCTTTCCAGCGCCACAAAATATGAGAAGCATAAAAAGGTGGAAAGTTACTTTAACACATTCTTTATTGTTCTCTCTATGTAAATATTAGGATTGTTTTTTGTGGGCATGTGAGCTGCTACCAACCTAGATAAAGACGTCCCATGTTTTGGGCCTCCGTTTCTTTTCATTTTGGTGTGGATTTTTGGAGTCCATGGGTTAACCCTTCCGAGCCCCACAAACTATGGGTCATCAAAGTCTACTGCAAGTTAATGTAACCCATTGAGCATTTGTTTTACACACTCAACTTTTATGGTTAAGGAGTAGGGCTGTGGGGGGTTTTGGGTGGGGGGAGTTCTTGGGTAGTGGGACTATGCTAGGTAATTTTATCTATGTAAATACAAATGACTCACGGACAAGATTCTGGGTGTGGAGTCTCATGTTAGATTGTTTTAATGGACTAATACATTTTTCTTGTCTCCATTAATCTATGTGCTATTTTTATATTGACTTACACTGTCACCTTTTTATTTAACTTGCAGATGAATTCAGAAGAGGCTGTTGCATTGCGTGCAAGCTTGCTTACTTTTCAGGGTGAGCTTTACGCTCTTGATGATAAGTGGGTATTATCAGGACTGGGTTATAACTATGGAGTTGATATTGAAACTGTGAAAAATGCGAGAGTACTGCATTATAATGGTAACATGAAACCTTGGCTTGAGTTGGGCATCCACGATTATACAGTTTCCTGGCGGAAGTTCCTAAACCAGGAAAATCAGTTTTTAAGTGATTGCAATATTAACTAGTACAGTATGGGCTAATACCTGCATTTGCTGCTGAAGTTTCATGAAGGTATGGGTGACAAAGTTTGCACAAGTTTCCTGTTTGTGATCTTGTGTAGAACCGTATCTGAGGTAGGGGGGCTGAGTATAATTTGGTGTGTATATCTCTATTGTTTGGTTAATGAAGGAAATTTGTTTAACCTCAAGGCAATGCTAGAGTGATGCATAATACTTGTCAATGATGGATTGGCAGTAAGGCATGGACAACTTTTCCTGGGTTAGGCATACACCTTCATCGGCTATTTTTTGTTGGAGCTGTTAGCGTATGAGGAGATTGCCCGAAACTATCTCTGAAGAGTTGGATATCAACTTTGCCTCCTATGAATCTTGTATACATGCATACCTTGGGTTAAATATAGTTCTACTGAAATCAGGTGACGAGTACTTGGACCCTTGCTTCACCTGTGATGACCATCTTGGATCCGCTGTGATGTGTGATATTGCCATTGACACGTTCAGTGAATTCTTCCTTGTAGAATTGGGTCTTTTTGAAATACATTCTTTTTTAGCATTGATCAGGCATCTCATTGTTTTTAACCTTTGCACTAGCTACTGGAGAACTGCCGTTGCTGCTAAAATATATTTAGTGTTAAACATAATACAATATTGTTTACCTTATAATTTTCCTTTTGACAAACAGCTTGACGTTTGTGCTTTTGCGATTAATAGTTTTAAGTTATATGCACTAATCATCTATCAGGTTATCTATAAAGGTAATTACAGATAAATCCCATTGTTAACTATTGTAACTAACATGCAATCACCAAGTTAAAAGTACATTGATTATGCTTTGTTAAGTTCAGGTACTTATGAAGCTTGTAGCTGTAGCCTACTGTTTGCCTTATAGGTAAATTGAGTCATAAAAGATGGGTTGAACTGGATTTATGTTCTTTTTTTCTTCTTCTGTCCTCGATTTTTCCTTGCCGTGCTTGTGGAAGATAAAAGATACCTTGTAGAATTATTTCTGGGCAATACTCTACAATAGATCACTTGGTTCATCCAACTGATAATTGTACTATTACTCAGAAAAATAAAAGCTCACGGAACAGGCTTATCACCAATTCTTGACTTGGTTCCATGCACCTAATAATTGTAATACTCCATTATTACTAACTCGAGTTTGAAATCTAATTAAGCCACAAAAAAATAAAAGTGACCAAAATATGCCACTATTCTAGTAAGTAACTAAAATAAGCTTAGTGGAAGAAAAAAATCCGTTTTATGTAATATTCCAAACGTTTTCCGCTAGTCTCATAACGTGTATATTTTAATATATAACTGAACTATTTTTACACTTTGTAAAGTGTAAGTTTTTCTTACACTTCTTAAATTTTAAGTTTTTCTTACACTTTGTAAAGTGGAAGTTTTTCTTACACTTTAGTGTAATATTCCAAACGTTTTTTCTTCCACTAACTTGCTAGCAGCGCAAGACAAACCGTAGAATTGAATATCGCTTTATTAAGATCAACTACTTTCACCTCATTGTCATTGTTCACACTTTCAAGACTCGGTGTACTCACAAATCAGATCCCTATTGGACTGACAGCGGCGTATTCAGGATTTATAGATAATGGGTGCACTATTACAAAAAGGTGGATCTAAGACATAAATTTGATCGGTTAAATTCTTTTTACTGAAAACCATTAAAATTTTAAAATCATAGGTCCAAAATTAACTTTTATTTATCCAAACCAATTACAAAATCTTAGAAAGAAAACTAAAACAAGATAGATAAAAGATTCAAATTTCTAACCTCACCTAGAAAGGTGCACCCAATCATCATCGTACTACATTATATGATACTTCAAGTTTGGGTTCACGCATCTATATTTAAATATTTTTAAAAAATATAACACTACTATATATGATTTTAGGAGGGGACCATGGGTTCACGTGAACCCGATGACCCCCTCCTGGATATGTATACGCCCTTGATTTGGACAAATGTCTTCATTTCAGGGCAGTTAAGAATCGACACTACTCCGAGAAATGGAAAGTCATAAGAACACTTATTCATAAAGAAATGCCCCAGCTTTGGCAGATCGTAAAGGTACAACTCTTCCAATAGGGGAAATAAAGGCTCATTAGTCATGATTTCTTCTCCTTGTTGTTCCTCTTCCGTGATCACTTCTTCCATTGATATGCAGGCTGCTATTTGTAGTATTCGGAGATTCAAAATACCTCTGGCCACTGACGGAGACATCAAGTTTCTCAATTTTCCACAACTATATACTTTCAAGTGTACAAGTTTGCTGAAGTAGGCCATAGGATGTTGATGAGAGCATAGAGCACTTATGCTGTTAGCTTTATCAATCAATAGCACTTCCAAGTTCGGACAACAAACCTGCAAATATATGAAATACTTTTCATAAAAAAGAAAAGTGACCCCTCAAATTTGCGATTTAGAGCTGATATACCCTCATTACAACAGTACCTTCACATATATAGCTATTGTTACATAAATGGTCCAAAGGAGTATATCAAGCCCCTTTTTTTTTGTAACACTAGTAATAGTAGAAAAATAGGCATTGTGCAAGTAAAGTAAGGATTTTTAGTGCTCAAGTAAGGTAATATTCATGACCAAACAAAAGGGAGTATAATTTTTTATAATGATCACTTAGAAAAGTAGAAGCAAACCTTTTCATGGAAAAGAGGAGTTGAGTGAGTGATGGAGTTGTTGGCTGTAGGCCAGAAATTTTGGAACTGATGTAATCTGTTGAGCTTCATTTTCCGCAACCGAGGGAACTCAATGCCCTCAACATTGTCACTGCAAAAGTGTGTGAAGAATTCCAGAGATTGAAGTTCCAACTCATGTAAATTCGGGAACTTGATTACTTCATGTGTACTCCGAGAGATGTTCAATAAATGTGTGACTAAATCACAATCAAAGAGGCTGAGACATTTCACGTTCTGAAGTTTATTCAGCTGCAACTCAGTCAACACATTATTAGAGCCCTTTCCGGTTGAATGTACAACTTCGCTCTTCTTCAACGTGTGGCAGATCCAATCACCCAATGGGGCAGTCTCAGTGACATTTAAAGCAATATTCTTGTCGTAATCATCCATGTTTGAAGCCGCTCTGTAAGCTTCACCCACCGTAAGAGTGTACCGTGCCAACTTGGAGGGAAGGCACAAGTCACTGTAGATCACATCTTCGGAACATTCACTCAGTGTCAGTGCAGTCAATTTCGATAAAGATTCCAGTTCACTCAAGGTGGAGTAACTACAATGTTTAACTTTCATCATATGTAGTTCCTCCAATCGAGTTAGTCTTGCTAAGACCCCTGCTGAAATCCTTTCGAGTGATTTATTCTCATTCCAAAACTCTAACATAATTAGATTCGTCAATTTTCCTATCTCCACTGGCAGCTCCTCTAACTGAGAATCTCGTATGCTGAGAATTTCTAAAGTGACAAGTTCTCCAATGATGGATATGTCATCCAACCGTACATTACTCAGACACAGCGTCCTCAGACATGACAACCTCTGAACGGATGCTGGAAAAGACCAAATGGAGTCCGCATATCCACTCAGGCTTAAGACGTTGAGTTTACTCATGCCATCAAAAAAATTGTCCTGTAATTTGAATGGCTTTACGAAACAGAGTTTTAACATTAGAAGCTTCAGTTTTGGACAAACGATTGGGCTAGGAAGCTCATCAAATTTATTTGCAACAATTGACATGTGACTGAAATGCTCATAGGAAGTTCTTCTTGGGAACTCTTCCGAGTTCATATGGTGACTTACCATAAAGTTATGCTCTCCCTCAGACGCAATACTTATAGCCACATCACGGACCACATCATGCATTTTGACATAACTTTTGTTTGAACCTTGGGATAACAAGAAACAATCTTTCAATATTTCTAATAGATAACACACCATATTTCTTGCATGTTCTAAATTACTGATTTCTGATAGGATGCCAAGCTGCATTCCGTATCTAAGTAATTCTTCAGGACGGATATCACTATCTTCCTCGAACAAGGAACAAAGCAAAAAGAGGTACTTAGCTTCATTACTTCCCAAGTAATCATAGCTTAGCCTCAGAGGTTTATACACCTCTGTGAGAACTTCAGGGATATTTATTGTTACTGCACCACGCAATTGAGTAATTCTTCAGGACGGATATCACTATCTTCCTCGAACAAGGAACAAAGCAAAAAGAGGTACTTAGCTTCATTACTTCCCAAGTAATCATAGCTTAGCCTCAGAGGTTTATACACCTCTGTGAGAACTTCAGGGATATTTATTGTTACTGCACCACGCAATTGTTCAAGGGCACAGTCCCACGAACGCTTGGTTTTATGCTTTTTTAGTGCTCCTGCAACTGTAATAATTGCAAGCGGCAGCCCATTGCATTCTTTGGCGACATCTTTTGCTATGTCAAGTAGAGAAAGATCGTCGATTGAATTACCAACTTTCTGGCTGAAAAGGATCCATGCTTCCTCCTCAGATAAGGTTCCAACTTCCATGATCTTCTGAGCTATCATTGCTTCACAAACAGATCGGAAACGTGTTGTGAATATCACTTTACACTGATGATTTTGGTTGCTACCACTGGGAATTCCAAGTTTTTCTAGTTCAAGAGCCTTCCAAACATCATCCAAGATTATAAGGATGCTGCTGTCCTGATCCATTAACCTTGAACACAGCTGATCTCCACGACTCCACAAATTATTCCCTTCTAAGGTCAGCCCAGCTTCTCTTGCAATTTCATCCTGAATTCTTTTGAAGTCCGGTTGTTGACTCACAGTTACCATGACAACATCAGTGAACAACCTTTCTTGTTTTGCCTTTTGTCTTATTTTCTCAGTCATTGTTGTCTTACCAACACCACCCATACCACATATCCCAATCATAGTGACCCCGTCAACGTCTCTCAAAGCAGCCATCACTTCTTCCTCTTTCAATTTTCTGGACTCAAATTCCTCACCAGTGTTACTAGGCATAACTTCAACTTCAACAGGATACGAAAAATCCACATAATTTCTGCCTTCAGTTTGAAGACCAATCACATTCAGTACAATTTCCTTAGATTTCTTGCTCAGCAAGTAACGCGACTTCAAGTTTGGACACCGGCCATAGCAACAACCTCTTTCAACTTCAGCTCTACGTTGCAATATAGTAGCTACATCACTAGTAGTGGTATCAACACGCGCTGACCAATGCTGGATCGTTGGTGCAACCTCACGTGAGTTTCTCCGAGCAGCTTCTGCTCCTAGCTGCACTCCACTTCTGATATCCTCCAGCGTCTCAAATTCATTATTCAAAGATGTGATGTTGCTCTCATAGGTAAAGAAATATTTAATCTCTCCAACAACTGAATCGATCAACCAATCTCCGACTTTGTCCACAACTTTACATAAGAAATCCATAGCAATTTGAAGTCTTTGAACTCTGCTAAATATATATTACTCAATAGTTTTTTCAATTCTCTGTTTTTGAACTGGTTTTCTTAGTTAATGGGAAGTAAAGCTTAACTAGAACAATAATAGAGAATTTGGTATAGTAGTAGTTAGGGGTGACAAATCAAACCCAACCCGCCCAACCCGGTTAAGGTTGGGTTGATGATTGACCCACTCATTCATTAGTTCAATCCATTTCAACCGAACTTATTTAATGCCTTAATGGATTGACATGTAACTCGAATTGGCACATGAATCTTGTCAAAATATTTTTAAATTTTTTTTTTTCTCAAGAAGATATGTTATATATAGTCATAATGAAAAAAATAATTTTATTAGATATTAAAATAGTTTAAAAGAACAAATAAAATAATTAATGTTAGTAAAAACTGAAACTTAGTTCAGAAAATTTGTAATTAGGCTTTCTTTGCTTGAGGCTGTGGGACAGAGTACCCTTCCTGGAAGGTGGCTCATCATCCGTTAGGTGTATTTTTTTTTTATTGTTAATGGTAATTCTTCACAGTTTACCAAAAAAAATTGGGTTGGGTTGGGTCTTGACCCGTTATATAACACGTTACCTAACTCATTTTGACCCAAGTAAATTTGGGTTGAATTGTGTCTTGACCCGATTATACCTGATTATTGTCTTAACTCATTATGACCCGCCTAAATTTAACCCAACATGCTCAATTGCCACCCTTGGTACTAATGGGGTCAAAATGACAGCATTATTAAAGTGGGATTGTTGATTAGATAACATTTCAAAATGGCAGACAGACACAGAAAAGTAGAAATAAAAGGAAAAGTGTAATATTTGCTTTTGAAACAAAAGTGGAGTCATGTTCTGTATTATTGAAGTGAAAAAACAAGATTGTTTTTTCCCTTTTCTCATTAGTAAATAACGACATAAATGCAAGATGATTTGAGAAAGTAGGACCTCTCCGTGTTAATTTGTTTGTCATAATTACTATTTGAACGGTCAGAAAAACATTATCTTTTCAAATACTTTCTAAATATTTTGAATTATTAACTATTGTGGCTTATAGGAGTAGTTATTATTGTCTTGAGCAGACAAGTAAATCTTAGCATGGTTTTGGGTACCAAGCTACATGAAAAAGCGATTAGCAAAGAGTTTCTGAAATTACTACTTGGATAATTATTGAGAGGAAAAAGAAGTGATATATAAAGAGAAATATTTCACATTGTTATCAATGTGCGAAGGATTAACTCAAGAGCAAACAGAGAACTGGGAAACTTTAATAGCATATTGATTCGATTTATTTCGATAGGAAGAAGAACCAGAATTGGCCCTGGGTCGTTTATCGTTTTTCAACCATCCGCTGGTAATACCGAAAGCAGACCACAAAATAGAAATACAGTAGCAAGAGAGTGGAGAGTGAAAAGCCAAATAAGGGGATGAGAGGATTCAGATTCTTCACAACTTCTGAGCCGTAATTTATTTACGGCATAATTTGTAGGATATTATGATACGAACGTATAAACTTATGTCACGAAAAAGTCAATTGTTGTTTCAATGTAAGGGGCATAATTTGTTATGCCTTTTACGACATAATTTGCGGGATTTAATATATGTGCAAGTTATCTTCCACTGAAGTCTGAATCTGATTCTCGCATTGTACTTGACAATGTCAAATAAAAGAACCATCTTGCCAAATGCTCCATATCACCCATCAATATCATATGAATGCAGTGCACAAACTGGTTTTCCATTCAGAATGAAAAAATATACAAATCAACGACGATGAGAATCAAAGACTTTATAAGTAGGACGCGTAATAATTTGAAGGTAAACTTCACAGCTGGTTGCAGTTGTGGAGGTTAACATCACATTTTGCACGTATCACTGACGAAATTCCAATATCAGGTAAGATGGGACTAAAATGTGAACCTGATTTACTTACAAAAGTTACAGGAATGGTATGGTAAAAATTATTGCAATATGGATGATTCCTTCTAATTAGAGATAAGGTTTGCCCCTGCTCGGAGTTGCAACATTTCTGTTCTCTTACTCCTCTCCATTACATCTACAAGCCAATTCACACTTTCCTTGATTCCTAACCTGCAATCAAGCAAGCGAAAGCTTGTATTATTCAAGCGTGTTTCCAGGACTCTTAGATAAGAGTTTTTAAAACCATAATGAGTCAAACCTTCTCGGAAAATGGTTTTATACAGTGGTCTTCTATATGACTAACATGGAGTGATGTAGTTCTAATGTGTGATACTGATAAAGATGTATTACTCACCCGTCATAGGATGAAACAGCTAGAAAGGTATAAGCTCTCTCATCGAGTTTCTTGAGATCGAGATACCGGGCAACTTCTTCTGCTGATACAGCATCTGCAAGGTCCTGCTTTAACAAATTGATGTGCATAAGCAAATGAATAGTCACGACAAGCACACAAAGTTAATGTCATCTGTCAACTATCACTTTCTCCATCTGGAAAGGCGGGTTTTCACCATATAAGCAGAACAGAAATAAAGGAATCAAGGGAATATCTAGAGCACTGAAGCCGGTATGCGCTTATCACATATTTGGAATCCATTTTTTCTTTTCTGATGAAAGCACATGTAGAAGAGAATCTTTTTTGACAATGATAAAACAAGAAATATAATGACAACATCTAGTCTTGGCAATTAAAGTATAAAGATTATTAGATCCAGAGGTTTTACAAATATAACTATCATGACAAATGAAGTAGACAAGGAAGAGACAAAAAGCTGTGCACTGTTCAATCATTACATCCATGATAAAGAACCTCTTGTGTGGAAGAAACTTTGTGCCTTTACCTGCTTGTTTGCTAATATCAGAAGTGGGGCTCCTTGCAGATCCTCATGCCGGAGAACTTTTTCTGCCAGTTATTGAAGTAAAAAAATAAACAAACTATGATGCCCATTAATTGTGAACTAGACAAAAGTTTGAACACATGACTAACCAACAGTACATACCAAGTGCAGATTTAGAATCCTCAAAGCGTGATGGACTAGCAGCATCAACAACATATATCACAGCATGTGCCTCTTCATAATACTTCTCCCAGATTGAGCGAAGACCAGGCTAAGTGTATAAATGGTCTCATGTTAGTCAGAGAAACTTATATGAACTGTCTATAACCAGCTGAAATATAAAAAAGTATCTTGCTGTCAGAGAACTGACACCCCTATCTGCTGACTAAGCTCTAGCGAGAAAACATAAGAATATTGTATAATCCCTTCATCTATTTATAACAAAGGTCATGCCAGCGAAAACTGTCCTATATAAGGTGGAAAGTTATCAAAATACATCTTAAGTTTGAGAACTGTCCTATATAAGGCAGAGAATTATCAAAATACATCTCAAGGTTGGAAATATACTTCTGAAACAAGAGTAGTAGATGACCATCATAAGTTGCACAATATACGCCAAAAATCGTGCAACTGTGATAACAACATGCACTTCATCATCAAACTTAGAAGTATAAAGCAGATGTCTGATGTCAAGCACTTCAAACTTGTCTTTTGTATTACATATACATTTATCTGCTGCTGCATTTATTTTACAGACCCTTTACGGTTCTAAAATGGAAATTTAATCATCTCAGAGGTCACAGGAAGCAAAGTTCATACCTGACCTCCTAAATCCCAAAATACAAGCTTCGTATTTGATGCTTCAACACGACCAATATTGAGCCCCACAGTTGGAACAATACGATCTGGTGGAAGGCCTTCCAAGTTTGAGTATTGTGACTTTATTTTCTCTAACAATGTCTAGAAATTTGATAATAGAAAGAAGGATTAGAAAGAAACCTTTCAAGACTAGACTTTGGTAATATATCTGTAATGGTTAAGCATGTAAAATTCACGCGCACACTCACACGCACACGCAGACACGAATATAGGGAAAGAGAAATTACAAAAAGATTAAAAATTAAAAGCAAATAAAAAAGAGTAACAAAGCAATTCAGACAATGGCATGTCAAAAAATAAAGATGCAATTCAGATTAACGTTCACAGAGAACTAATTCCAGGGACAACTTTATTCTAATAAGTATGAAGGACAAGAATGAGAGCATTGGAGCAACAGTAAAGTTGTCTTTGTATGACCTATAAGTCATGGGTTCGAGCCGTGAAAGCAACAGTAGGCTGTCTACATCACACCCCTTGGAGTGCGGGCCTTCCCTGGACCCTGCATAAAAGCGGGATGCTTTGTTCACCGGGCTGCCCTTTTTAAGTATGAAGGATAACTTTTCATCTCTTCAAGTAAAGCTAAATTGGACTTCACTCATGTATTACCCTCTAGCTCTAGTACTGTTGTATTGCAGTCTACTCCCATATCCTAATTTCTGCTTACAAGTAATCAAAGATATTATATAGGCTTGCAGCCTTGCATTAAGCCTGAGTGAGAAGACATAACTACAGTAACTCTACAATGCAAAATGAGGTGGCCAACATATTCAGAGTGCTCTTCACACATGGGCACCTACTACAAAGCTGAAATCCCCTCTTTTGGAGGTTGGAATGAGTTGAGTGCCGTCCTAGCTAAATCCAAGAGAAGCAAGACACCTTCAAAGAAGCCTTGCTAAACCAAATATTGTTTCAAGGCCAAAAGACCCTGTCGTTAGCCTTGCTAAACCAAATCTTTTTCCACGGCAAAAGACCCTGTTGTTACTCCCATATATACTTCCTTCACAAAGGATATGGACTAGTTTTTTTCTTTTATTTTTGTCTTACTTCCCAAGTTTAAGAACCTGCGCTCCATCAGTAGATGTGTGCATGTTTCTAGATATCTAATTTTTTTCAAATAACTTAGGGTTTTACTCAAGATTCTGGCAGTGATTTTTCTATATTTCTTGCAGTCTTGTTTGACCTTCCTTATCTTGCTGCCAATCAGGGTCCAACTTGAGAAAAGAATTTTAAGATTCGTTTACTAGTGTTGTTTCTCCTGTTGATGATCCATCAAAAAGGTAAACTGCCCAACTTCACGGTTTAATTGTATCACATGGCAACACTTGGTTTTAATTTACAAGCAGAATTCTGCTCAGAGAACTTGCCAAACTCTCTTGGATTAACATTTACATCATACAAGGAGGTTCATCAGCAATTTCACAAGGTCTTTACTTTCTAATAGATTTATGTGAATTTCATCAGTATCATGGGAACTACCAGAGACTACATGAAGAAAGCCCAGTTCATGTGACTTCATAGACTTCCCAAAACTACTGATTCTGGTCAAGGCGTTCAGTTTACTAGTTACTGTGGAGGACATTTTGGCATTTCAGAGCACTAAGCTATAACCCTCAACTGTTTTTCACCTTCAAACTCATGGCCAAACTTAGGTTGTACTCAAAGTTTAGTGGATCTACTTTGTTGTGTGTCATCTTGTTGGAGACAAACCGCTTGGGACCTAGTTCTGCCTATGGTCAACTTCGGATACAATAACTCCGTCTAGTGTCGATTAAACCACTGGTCCCCAGTCCCTTTGAAATTGAGATGGGTATGAAACCGAGGAAACCTATTGTCTTAGTTCCTTCACCATTCTCAGGCTCCAAAAGGAAAGCATTCGCTGAGCATAGCTCACCAAATTCATACTAACAGACGACCCAAGATTATCTATCGTAATGCAGATTACAAATCTTATGCAGCTCTACATTGACGATGAGAGGACTTTGAAGCTGGGGACTTCAATTATTGTTAAGTGCCAGAAACAATTCTCAACCCACACTAAAAGAAGCTTCATTGTAAATGCTTGACCATTAAAAGCTCTCCACACACAGGGATTACCAATGTCTTCAACATAGACAGTCCATTGTGGAGATGTTAATAAGATCGATGTGATTGCTGCTACTACTGTTCAGGAGGAAACTGAAGACATTCTAGTTATGAAGAGTCTCTATTCAAGGAGGAGGATGTCTGATGAAAAATTCTATTGAACAACAACAAACCCAGTGTAAGATTACACAGGTGGAGTCTCCACCTTGGGAGGGTAGAGTGTAGAGTGTACGCAGATCTTACCCCTATCTTATGGAGATAGAGAGATTGTTCACAAAACCAGCAAGAGATGATATAAATATTAATCCAAGAAAGTTTAGGAAATATTACAATATGAAGTGGAATCCAAATTCACAAACAAGCTTCAATAACTGAATCTACCTTGGGGCTTGTCAAAAGTTGGTGCTAACTTTTTTTTTTGATAACCATGGTGTCTGGGCTAACTTGCGCGCACCTCGACTAGTTCCACGGGATACCTTCCACCTTGCACTAGCAACAAGTACTAGGTAACCCTGTCTACCACGGCTAGAACATTTGAGAAAAAATCACCTAGTGTTTTGTCTCTGCTTGGAATTGAATCGAAGACCTCATGGTGCTCAATCCACTTTATTGACCATTGGGCCACACCTTTGGGTGTAAAAAAAAGTTGGTGTTTACATCTAGTCTTTTCTTTAGCTTTTTTCTCCACATAAGCCATGTTAATTTTGTGTTTGACACGGTGAATACAGTGATCTTAGAGAAGCTTCAAGCGATTACTTTTACTTTCTCTCTCTCTCTCTCTCGGTACACCCTATCTCCTTTCTTCTTTCTTTCCCATCTTTCTTCTCTATCCTATATTATAAAGATATGACACCTGAGTCTAACTTAACTCCAAAAGCTAGCTCATGAGGGGGAGGATTGTCCAAGTCCATATAGGCAGACCACCGGTCCAATCCCCTACAAATGTGGGACTTCAACCCACTCGAACACCCCCCCTTCACTCCCAGAGGCCCAACTGGAGCATAGGTCGGAAGACAAACCACGGATGGACCTGGCTCTGGTACCATGTAAAGATATGGCATCTGAGTCTAACTCAACCCCAAAAGTTAGCACATGAGGGGAGGACAAGTCTATATAAGCAGACCACCAGTCCATTCCCTTACAAATGTGGGACTTTGACCCACTCTACTACTTATTCACTGTTGTTTCTGCATTTGCATTTCCTTACAGAGTAACCAGAATCTTTCCAGCCACAAAACAGTAAGAAAACACAACAATTACCTCAGCTTCCATCCATATATTATCCATTTGACCTCTCCCTCTCATATGTTAACATGTCAACTTAAAGGGAGTTGTGTTCTTAAGTTTTTCTAGACATGTAAGTGTTGTTTTATTGCTGAACTTTAAAGATCACTGTGATATAAAGTAAGACAGCAAAGCTATGACCCACTAGAAATACATTTAATTTTGAGATGGACCACTAGCCCTCGAAAGACCACTTCTAGAATTTCAAAACCTACCGCTGGTCTAAAACCCACTGCAAAGATTGAGTAAGAATATATTGCTACTAAGATAAATAGTTTTGGCAATTCAAATGATCATTTAGAATATAGGGTTTATCAGAAACAACCTCTCTACCTTTTCAAGATAGGGGTAATACTTTACCCTCCCCAGACCCCACTTGTGGGATTACACTGTGTTTGTTGTTGTTATAATATCATTTAGAAGATATCTAGCACAAGCGATTAAACGTAAAACTGGATGGAGTAAAGTACATGAAACATTGCACAAAATTATAAAAAAAGTTTGAAGGAAGAAAATAGTTGATAATGTACCGTTTTCCCAGCCTTGTCAATCCCAAGAATAAGGACATGAAACTCTGTCTTGCTAAACATGTATTTATATAGTCCATAAAATAATGAAAACATCTCTATCTTCTTCTGTTTCCTCTATGATTGACTACAGATTGCAACAGGCTATATGGTGATTTGTTCTCTAGTCATCACTCATCAGAACGAAACCTGAAAGGAAATGACTCGTTACCATCTCCATGGAAATCAAAAGAGACATGTCAATATGAACAAACTAAAATCTTATACTAAAGTGAATGAACATACTTATAATTGATAAAGGATGCCCCCTAACAATATAGGCACGTAGAAATACAATTGAAGCCCCAATATCAGTATTTAGGAGCTCTACAAACCCGGCTGGTAGCCGGAAAACCCCATTCGCATCTCAATATACACATGCTTGCTAATGGCCTATGCTGCTTGAATCCTCCAAAAATGTTATCGCACCCATACAGATCCTCAAAATAATGCAATACTTTTGGAGGAACCCACATACACCTGGCAGCATTTTTGGAGAATTCAAGCAACATAGCTAATTGCTGGTAGCCCAACTCCTTCTTTCCAAAAGTTACTAATTGATTAACTATAACTACTAGCGAAGAGAGAATTATTCTCCTTCCATCCCACCAACTGCATATTATGCAGCCCCAACTATCTAGGATCGGCAGCAATCTATGGAATTGGGATAACAGTGCTAGTGAATCCACCCCCACCACAACAATAACGAATAATATTATTAGTAGAATGGTGTCATTTATATTGGGACATATAGAGTAATTAATACGAATGTTTAGTCCATCAATCAATAATATATCTGCCTGAATTTTATGTACATCATTAGCATTTCCATTGATGTATGATAAATAAATAAAAATTAACATATAGAACAAAATAACCCCAACTTGTCTGGAACTGAGGAACAATTGTCATTGTTGCATGTAGATCAAAATAAAAATGGAACAGTATTCAGTTTTGTCAATTAACTTAAATAAGGACTTAAGATTTTAAAAAATATTTTTGAAAAATCGCAAAGAAATTGCAATCAGAATTAATAGCAATCAGAATTAATACTCCAATTAATAAAAGGAAATCTAAAGTACCGATTTTCAGCTTCTGATTATGATTTTGAGCTCGAATTACAACAAATAACGCTAATTCTTTTGTGATCCAACATTGGAAATTGTAAATACGAAGAAAAAAAAAGTAACTACTCATGAGTGATCCGGAAAGGAGGAGAAACTGAAACCTGATTCAGAGAAGGAAGCGGCAGAACTGAATGATGGTAGCGGTGATTGTGCAGTGGTGTTCCGCTGTGCACGGTGGTAGAAGCGACGGAGCTTTGAGGAGGAGGAAGAGAGGGGAGGAGGGGTAAACTGTAATATGTATACAGATCCACCGAGATTTTAATTTAAAACATCCTTTAATGTTTAATTGTTGATTTACACAAAACTTAACCTTTAATCAAGTATTAATATCGAGAAAATGATCAATTGTCCTTAATTTATGGGTAATATATTTTACATAATACATAAACATGATCATTATCTCGACGTCAGCCGGTAATTATAATCTTTAATTTTGGTTGTATACAAGTAAATGTGTGTCTACTTGTTCAATTTTATACAAATTTAAATGTTTACTTGTGCATACTCAAAGTTGGAGGACATAATTGTCCGCTGAAGTTAAGTTAAGGGTCATGTTTATATAGTATGCTTAAATATTTTACCGTACTCCGTACGTTCTTATTTACATATCGTCTTTACTAAAAATACATGTTATTTAATACTTGTCATTTCATAAAATCAATGCATAAATGACATTATTATTCGTATTTTATCCTTGAAAGTATGTATTTGACCAACATAGAAAAACAAAGTAATTATTTTATCTATTGAAAATTTGACTTCAAGAAAACACTAAATAAGGGTAGTAAACTTACCTAATTTTTTAAAGAAACGTGAAACCTAAAATGATGACAACTAAATAGAAACGGAGGGAATATATTTTATTTGATTTAAACAATCCTTAATGTATAAATTATAGTAATAAAGATGTTCATTTTGGTCGTTAATATATTTCACTGGATTGTAATGGTTCTTAATAAGGGTGTTCACGGGTTGGTTTGGATCGGTTATTGGTCAAAATCAAAACCAAACCAACTTAATCGGTTTTAAAATTATCAAAAACCAAACCAAACCAAAATATAATATACATTTATCGGTTTGGTGATTATCGGTTTCGGTTTGGTTTGGTTCGGTTATTAACCATACACAAAAAATAAAAGAAACAATCCATTCAAAACGAAAATAGTTAGAATGACTTAAATTACTAAACTTTCAATCACTAAATTTACTATCAATAAAGCTTTAAAATTCACTATATTGGCCTAGAAGGAAGAGACAATAACATTTCTAGTCCCACAAAGAATTGACATAAACACTCATATACATGAAATCAATAAGATAAATGTTTCATCTTGGACATTTTTTGCTTTTCAATAAGTAAATTATAAAGAATTTTTAATGAAAATATGTATACGATCTTTAAAATTGTTTATAAAAATAATATATTAAGTATGTATATTAATAAAATATATGTATATAATTCATCGGTTCGGTTCGTTATTTCTTCGGGTTTTTTCGAATAAAATCATAACCAAACCAAAATACTATCGGTTTTCAAAAATCTAAAATCAAATCAAACCAAACCCAAATAAAATTGGTTTTTATTCTATCAGTTTGGTTTGATTTTTCGGTTTGGATCGGTTTTTATCCAAACCGTGAACACCCCTAGTTCTTAATATATAACAAAATGTGTTCATTTTGGTCATTTACCCCAAAGCTAATAGGTTTATCAAAAAATGTTAAATTTAATTGTGGACCCTACGTGGCTAACAGAATTCACCATTATTGTCTTATTTGCTAGCTTCAAAAAAAGATCTCTATAAAATCTCACACTATTTTCACTACTTTCTCCAACAAATTACTATTTTCTCTTTCCTAAAATATTATTACACTAACCTAATATCTATTATTGTTTTCCCTCAAAGTTACAAAAAGGGGATTAAAAAAATCCATATCCGATCCTTTATGTGTGTGCATGAGCATTTTGAAGCTATCAAAGAAGAAAATAATGGAGGATTTTTTTAACTACGTGAGATCCGCAACTAAATTTAACACTTTTTATTTAAATCTATTAGATATAGAGTAACTGATCAAAATAACCACATTTTTGTTATACATTAAGGACTATTTCAATCAGATGAAATATATTAAAGATCAAAATGGACACTTTTATTATACATTAAAGACCATTTAAATTAAGTGAAATATATTAAGGATCGAAATAAAGCATTGTCTACACATTAAGCATTATTTTGATCAAAGTGATTTATTATACCGTATTAACTTTCTTTAATTTTTATTTAATAAAATTTGAATAATTTTCCTTATTTTTACTATAACATGATAAAAATTAAAAACTTACTTTCTTGATAAAAATTCCAAAAAATATTAGGTATTTTAAAAAAGAATTTTTAATATTTTTTTTTCATAATTTATCCAAATCAAAATAATATATCTGTTTCATGATCCCAAAAAGACGACACAAAAAAAATGCAACAAATAATTTTCTTTTAGATTCCCCTCCCCCCTCTTTTAGATTCCCCCCCCCCCCCCAATTATTTTTCCAAGTCAAAACAATATCCTTCTTATGATCCCAAAACAAACTTAGCTTTTTAGAAAAAAAAACTACAATAAATATAAAAAAAACTACTAGATTTATGTTTGAAATTTTTTTCTCGAAGAGGTATATTGTTTTGGCTTGAATAAATTATGAGAAAAAATTTAATGGAGATGGGTTTTTATTTCATCCAATAAGAAAATGATACATGATAAAAAAAAAAAATCAAAATAAAAAGAGCATTGTTAATTTCAAGAGTATAAGTGAGTTAAATGTGAATGAAAAAATATTTGTAGATCAAAAAATAAATAGAAGGATATTTTTTAGAACAAAAAATGGACAAAAAATATTTTTAAACCCTTTACTATAATTCAAAAATATTTTTGACCTTTTTCCATAATAATAATAAAAGAGAAGTATTAAAAACACCCTCGAACATGACGCGAATTATTGATTTAATCCTCGAACTATTGATAAGCTTAAAAACACCCCTATATATACTAAACTTAAATTCACCCATCCTAACTGATTACACTCTCCTTAAGCACATGAAAAGTTACAAAAACGCTATATCAAACTTTTTATTATTTTTTTCCTTCGATTTTTAATTTCCAACAGCTACAATACCCTTCTTCTCCCTATTTAACTTCCCCTCCATTAAAACTGACCTCAAAACAAGATTCAAAAAAATTTCCACTCTTTTTTAATTGCTTAATTTCATATGTTATAATATTCTTTCTCCTCCTATTGTGTTCATATGACTATTTTTTGTCGATGTGGATTTCCAGCCGTGTTAAGAAATTCAATTCTTAAGAAAAACGCGAACAAAACCCTAACAAAATAAAAAAAACAGATCCTTATCAATACTTTAATCAACGTTTTCAAGCTTAAAATTGTAGAAAGCTTTTGGTCGGAAGAGAGGTGAGACGCTGAAAATTTTTGGTCAGGAAGAAATTAGAGACAAAACCCCTCTTTTTTTTTAAATTTCTTTTATGTTAATTTATTTTTTTTAAATAAAGAAAAAACAAAATCCGTGTAGCGCGTGAATGACAGTATGGTATGAGAGGGATGTATTTAAGCTTCGTTCCTTAAGTATAGATGTGTTTTTAAGCCTGTCAATAATTTGAAAAAAAAAACTAATAATTCGCACCGAATTTGAAGTGGTTTAATACTTCACTCTAATAATACTGAGGTTGCCTTCATTTCACAGTAAATGAAAGAAAGTTGATCATTTTGTGAAATAGGAAAACAAGCAAGGAATTAAGTACATGTGTGCAACAGACAGCATAGACATTTAACCATAACATGCAAGTTGTGTAAAAACATAACGTTTTTTCATTAGTGTCTTTAGAGATGCAGGCTATTGCAAAAGTGTTTAATTTCCATATCAAAACTTTTTCAAGTTGGATGGAACCGCTCTATTTATTTTTTTACCCAACTTTATATACGTGAAAAAAAAATGGAAAACAAAAAGATATATTTGTAATACATTACATTAGTTAATTTGAATTCTAGTTTCTCTAATTAAATTCTGATGCAACATAAGTATCATGTTTTTGATTTTAGTTAATGTGGCTTTACTTAAGGTCACGTGTGTAAGTCTTGGAAACAGTCTCTGACAGAAATGCAAGGTAAGACTGCATACAATAGACCTTTGTGGTCGCGAGATGTCTGTAGTGCACCGGGCTGCCCTTTGTAGCTTTACTTAAGGAAACTGAAAGCCAGCACCAGCAACACCTTGTCCCTGACCAATTTGTGGGTTACCAATAGCTATCCATAGCAAGGAGAGTGTTATTGCAATGAGTCCTGACCAGACGAAGACGATGGTGGGTGTTTTTCTCCTTCTACCCATGAGTCCCTTAGCGAAAGGATACAAATGAGCTAACACCCAGAACGCGAAGAATGCACCACCGATGAATCTTCCCCATTGGGGTACAACGGCAAATACTGCCCTAGAGAATGCAACTACAATTGCGATTATGTTAACCATACCGATGACTATAGGTGGTATCATCAATGATGTCCATTTAACCATGTACAATTCAGCATAGGCGTCATCTTCGTCATCTCCAGCAGATTTTGAAGTGAGGGTAAAAGATATTTCAATCCCTGCGATAACTTTAAGGAGACCTTGTATAACAGCAGCAAGATGGGCACTAGTACCTGAAATGAGCCAAAATTGTTCATTTCTCCACCAATCCTCTAGAGCAACGCCGGACCATTTTACTTCCAAGATGGCTAAACCGATGAGACAGAGTGATATGGTTAATAGAAATACAAGGAACACGACGTTGACATTTTGGACAATGAATTGACCGGATATGAGGGAGAGTGCAGGGAGAAAACAGTAGATGATGAGGAAAAATGAAGTGAAAGGATAAATTCCGACATTAAGGTAAGCAAGACGTTGGAGGACATTGAGTTTTCGGGATGCAAGGAAGGCATTGTTCCCTGAGAAAAAGATTTCAACAGAGCCAGTAGCCCAACGGAGCACTTGATGTAGCCTATCTGTTAGATTTATAGGAGCTGATCCACGGAACGCGTCACGTTTGGTGATGCAATAAATAGAACGCCATCCACGATTATGCATCCGGTATCCAGTAACCACATCTTCTGTCACCGAACCATAAATCCATCCAACTCGATCACCCCACTCTGTCTTGTCTTCATACCTAATAAATTGAGTTAATTTAGTAATGCTACATTGCTCAATTAACTAAAATGTG